ATGGCCAATATGAGCCCATATGTTTGGCTGCGGCGCAGTGATTATTCCTGCTATTAGGGACCCACGAGTTTAGTGCAAAACCTGGTGCGTTCCAGCCTTTTTGCTGTGTAACGCTATGGCGTTGCTACAGCGAGCAATAATTGGCCAACGCACGGGGTGCCCGTGCGAAGATGCGTTTTTTGCATAGTTTCCCGCAGTTTTTTTCGCTACCAGCACCGGTTTTTCTGCAAACGCTTCTAGCTAAACAAATTAAGACTGGCCGCCAGAACTGTCAGAAAACACTCTCTTAAAATTCCAGCTTTTTAGCTTTCCTGGCTCCTGAGTTAGTAACTTACTGGAGAAAAAATTCCACGGACTCGCACGTGGGTACCACGCATGCCGATGTCTGGGTTTGAGCTCGTTGACTTACGTGTATAGTGAACATCCTCTTAAAACTACAGTCTTCTAGGTTTTCGGGTTCTCGAGTTAGCAACTTACCCGAGAAGCCCAGAACTTTAATGAGCCGGTGCGTGGGTACCACGCATACCCGAAGGCTGGATTTGAGTTGAATGAGATTTAGGTTGACGGGAATATCCTCTTAAAATTACAATCCTTTGGCTTTTCAGGTACTGGAGTCATCATCTTACCCGAAAAAGTTTGCCAGGCCCGTACGTAGGCACCACGCGTATCCGGGGACTGGGAACATCCCCAGTCCCCGGGTACGTTTGTTTGAAGCTCATTAAGACTTGCGTGGACAGGGAACATCCCCTTAAGACTTCAACTTTCTGGCTTCTCAGATCCCCGAGTTATGGACTTACTCGTAAAAAACTTTGGCGGGCTCTGTTGGTACCACACGGGTAACGGCGCCCATTTGGTGCATGTAGATTAAGCTACTAAAGTTCCAGCCCTGTAGCTTTTGTAGGTCCTGAGATGAAAAACCGTGACAGACGCACACACAGACACATGGACGCACAGACAACCCTTCGTCAACGTGCGTTTTCTGCACTGCATAGCTGTAAAAAACGTATAGAAACGCATGTTGCGACGATCTTTGGTGGGTTTAAGAACTCTTAAGAACTCCGATCACGCTAATAAACCAAGCAATGCCAGCGACATAAATCTAGTACTGACTGGAAGAGGGCATGGAAAACAAGGAGCTTGGGATTGTGAAGCAGAAATAGTGAGTCTGAGATAATTTCAACCATACTACCGTCAAATTCTTTGAAATGACGCGTTATACTTTATTTGTTCAAAATCATTGCGACTGGTAAGTGTACATGACTGGACGGGCAGGGAGGAGCGAACACGCAAACCCATTAAAATGTTATTGGGCAATATATAAAAAGCATACCTTCCAGTGCGCAAAACTAGAATTCGGCCCGGCTTCCTCTTCTTCTTTTAGAAAGTAAGCGGTCGCTTCCACTGCTTCACCTCCGAAAACGATCAGGGTAAGCGGACCACCAAAGCTTACCGATGTTTCAGCTTGAGGCGAATGGACAACTGGAGGCTCCGTTGCGGGAAACTGCAAACTCCACGATTCGCTCGTACCGTTTAGCCCTCCGTACATTCTTCAATGGCAGAAAAAATAAGGAGTAGTACGGCGCGATATAATTTCGTTGTAGTTCTGTATATTCGGAAAAAGAGGGGAAGACAAAGATACCGCCTAAAAGTCAACAAGCAGAAGAGGTCAGGGGCTAGGGCATTGTCGTTCTTGCTTCGAAGCATTAAGCACCAGGACTGTCTACGTAAATGGGTCAGTGAA